ATATAAAAAATATGACTAATAGGGAGGTGAGATGGGAAACCAGAATATTAATAAAATAGGAGCTGTAATTAAGAAGAAGTAGTGTGGTATAGCTGAAGCTTTCTGTTCTTGTAATGTTCAGTTCCAAGCGAGTTTACTGGTTCATTTATTCTTTACGTCCCACTGAATCACACTATGGACTTTCCATCCATATTGAGTAATTCTCCTGTGAGCCTGTGTTCAATTCAGTGGAGCTAATGTGATGCTCTGTCAAAGGAGACTGAAATCAAATCAGGTGGGCTCAAAACATTTCCCCATTAATATTGGATGTAATTGTTACATAGTTCATCGAAAAGTTATTCCTTTATTAGGTTTGCAGCTAATTAGTTACATGCCGACTGTTGGACAAATATATACCATTCTAAATTAAGCACACTTTCACGTTCCAGTAAGGAGAAATGTTTAACCAATGACAGCTTGTTACAGCCCATAGGATCTATCAGAGAACAGAATAATCTCCCAAAAGGAGTGCTGGTGCTAAGGCACTTAAAACTAACCTGGACACACCACCACTGCAAGAGCTTTCTTCCCTGGTAGATGACAACCTTTCTGGCTCTTCATTTCTGTGATCAGTTTACTGTGGTGTAAATCAAAGCCGAATCACAGTAATTGCTTGGCACTCTAATATATTGCCCTAGACCACATGAATGCTGAAATAGGGAGTTCTTGTACATTTGCAGACTGGATTCCTTTTTTACCAGCCTCTGCGCTGCTTTTTTTTTTTTTTTTTTTCCAGACAACGTCAGAATCAAACACTTTTCTGTTCTCTTCATCAGATTTAAATCTCTTTAATCAGCCAGCTAGATTACGGAGCTCTGATAGGTGGCATGGCTTTTTAGAGAGAGCCAAACTGAAGGAGCTGCTGCACATATCCTGGTTCCCAGGCTCCTTGCCAGCAGCAGGGTGTGATGTAATAGCCTTTCACGCTGAACAAGTTAACAGCCCTGTTTTTGAGTTTACTACATTTTGGCTTAGAAACAGCATGAATAGCCTTGCAGGGAAATGCTACTGTTTAACAAGCAGGTAGCTGCAGAAACAATCTTGTTTCCCTCTGTATCTAGGGCTGGAAGAGAGCTCCAGCTGTACTTTAGGTCTCTTCTCTTCCGTATGCTGGAGCAGCAAGGACTGTGTCAAATAAATACAGACCGGACTCTTTCAGTCCGTTCTGAGAGCTATATCTGCAGTTTTAACAGGACTTGCTCACACGGGCTTAGAGTAAGTCTCAGACTACCTTCTGGCTGAGATGGCCTCTTTTTAAGAACGTTCTGGGAAATTACTTGGTTCAGAAGTTATTTGGAGAAGAGTGGTTAACTACACAGTCATATGGAAAGGACCGTCTGTAGGCATGTTCTGCCTCTGTCACTTCTTCTCAGCAGAGGAAGCCCCAACCCTGTTTTTCACCAAAAGAGAACACAAAGGCAACTCCTCAATTTGGAGCTGGCGTCTTTCTTTGGCCTGGACTCCTCTCAGACCGGGAAAGGAGAAACCCATAAAGGGCAGGAAATGATGTACCACAAAAATGCTTGTGTTTGCAGGAGACAGCGAATACTGCGATTTCCACAGTGTCTTATGCATCAGTGGAAGAAGAAAGGATGAGATGAAAAAGATACAACCACATTAAGCTCAACATACTACATTCCACTTTAAAATACGGGCAAAGCGGAAACAGGGCAAACACGTTCGTTATTGAATTTGCAACCTCTCTACATTCCTTTCATGGTTAGTAATGTCACATTAGAGAAGAGTTATCTTTTACTGCTTACTGCCTGAAGGTTACACAGTCCAAACAACATGAGGCCAAAGTACAGAGTCATGAACTGTACTGTGAAAAATCAAATTGCTCCTTTCCCATTTACTGCAGTGCACAGCAATCTTTTGGTACAGCTTTGATCTCTTATCAGCTGAATTTCTCATTATAACCTAACTCAACCGCTAGGAACACCTACAAGCCCAGAGGAAAGCCTGTGAGAGCTGGTGAAACCGTGTGTCACAGCCTCATCACATCTAGCTTTGGGCACCTAACTGAAGTGCCTCAGTTAGAAACGCAACACCCAGAGTCACTCCCTTTATAATCAGCGCAAAAGGCTGTTCAGCCCGCTGAAGATCTCATTCATGCCCTGCAAATGCCTCTCTGTGCGATACAGAGACAACTAGAGCTACTATACTCCCAACTTAAGCAGCTCAGATAGGTTTCTAAAGTTAGGTGGGATAAATCCAGACCTTAGTGATTACCACAGACATCCATTTAGCATGAGGCTAATTGCTTAGGTTTGTATACTGAGTTGCAATGACACTCACTGAAGGAGGATCTCCCTGTCAGGAACTGTCTCCTGTTTTTTACTCCTCTCGCCCAAATCTAAGGCTTAAAAATCGCCTCAAAATATTCGCTGTTCTAAGTGCACCTAAAATGTGAAAGTTTTTGATTACAACTGCTGGGAAATAAACATTTTTATTCTTTACTCCATGCCTTCTGTCCTACTGAACACATTTAACCATTCCACACCACAGTCTCAGACATATAAAAACCAAATACACATTCAGCTTCAAATGCAGTTAATTATAAAGATAACCTGAGATTAGTTCCAAGTCCCGATCCTGCACCTTCCTATAGTTATCTGCTGTTCTGTGTTTTTTTTTAAATAATAATTCCGGGTCTGGGTTCAAGGGTTCCTCTTTGCTACTGCAATATATATAGCAATCATGAATTGTTTATAATAGTTCCGGGATCTCACACATTATCATCACTAGTTAATGTAATAAGTAAATTAGATTTTAGTTGACAGAGCCCTGCAGATAAGAGTCAATTTCTTGTTTCCGATGTCAACATAGAACCTTCCCTGTCATTAAACTGATCATCTAACAGTATGTCCACTATGAAAACATTTGTCATATAATTTATAGTGTGTTTTAAAAATAATTGGAATTGTTATGCCAAGAAATGGTGATCTAAGTAAACAAGAAATTGAGTTTGCCTTATAGAGATTTGTTTATGGCATGTGCTTTGGGAAAACATGTATTTATTAACACACAGCTCAGAATAAATGAAATGCTTGAAATACAGTACTCAAATCAAGAATGTTGGGCTACTGCTGTCATATTGGTAAAGGAATACTAGGTAAATAACTTACAGGGATCAAAAGACACAACAGTCCTGAGTGAACACCCATCAGCTTCAGATTCATGCCCTTCTGCAGAAACTTCACCCTTCTCTTCTCTAACAGTTTCTGGTAGCAGGAGTGCATGGCAAATCTCTCTCTGGTCTCTGTTGAAAATTAAACATCCAGAGCTTTGTTCCTCACAGATCCGTAGCTGCTGACATTTGTTCCCAAGTAAGCCAAAAAACTAATGATTCACTGGCAGCCCTGCACACTCACTGTTCTCAGATATAAATGAGTACAGAGGGTACAAAACAAAGATGATCAGGCGCTATACATCCTATGTATTTGTGTGTCTTCTGAACAGGAGGTAATTGAGTCCAACCTACTGAGATTCCATCCAGACTCTCTCTGGTACTTATATACAACCACAACAGTTGAGAAACACTTGCTGAGAATTCTGTTTCTTTATTCTGGCATCTTCTACTCAACTTCATATTGTCCGAATCAGCAAATAATTACAAACAAAACAAACTTTTCAGCCTTTCGGTCAGTGGAATGTGCTAAGATTAAGTTGTTTCCCCATTTCTATTCTAACAGGTACAAAAGACTCCTCTGTAGCTGCATAACACAGATAAACACATTCATATGCAAATAATATGACTGACTGAAACCTACCAAAAATATTTTTGTGTCCTACAAGCCTTTGAGTTTCATAATTTATGTATCCCAAGACTACTACTTACATGGAAAGGCAGTGAGTTGGCTGGAGAAAAGTTACTGCTGGAGAACCCTAACTACAAATGTGGGATTTATTTAATTTAATACTTCAATTATTTGCTTTTGTATAGCAGCAGAACAGAAAGTCTGTATTTTGTGGGGAGAAAAACTTAAAAAACAAAGGTTGGCTACAGGTACAACAGGATGTAACAAACAATGAACAAAAATGGCTATTAATTATAAGAGCAAATGGTCATAACCTGTCCATGAAAAGAATTAGATTGACAATCAGAGAGTTCCTAACCAGTACAGAAGGGGTCTGCAAAATCGGGCATGTGTTTTACTGGGGGGTTTGTGAATGACTTGAAAGCAATATGTGAATACTGATCCAGTATCAAAACACTTGCAGCACAACAACGGCTGCTGCTGCTGCAGTGGAGGTACCTAACCCAAAGCAAAAAGGGTTTGGGATTGCTGTGTTAGCGTATTCAGATCCTGGAGCAGCTTTCCCATGGGCGAGTGGGAGGAAACTTCCTGCTTTTAAATAAATTACTATGAACTAGAATGAAACAGAACTTGTAATGGTTCAACAGGGAGACAGTCCTCATGAACCTTTATGTCCTTTACACTTCTAGGTTTTTAGATACAGACAATGTCGAAGATTTTATGTTCTGAGGGGAAAAAAAAAACCAAGAAAAGCTGTGAAAGACAGATGCAGGGTAATTAACTCTGGTGACAGATCACAGCCTGCTAGTTCCATGAGGCGGGGGAAGAGTGAATGGAAAGATATGGTTAATGCAAAGGAATTAACACAAAAAAGAAAGAAGGGGTAAAAAGGCAGAGGAGAAAAGAAAAGAAGAAGAGCAATGTCTCTGAGGCTCAGGCTGGCCAAGGCAGAGGGGAGGAGGCACAACGGCATGCAGCGTGGATGTTGCAATGGAGAATACCAGAGGCTGGAATTCATGTATTCCCAGGAGCTGAAGAAACCACTCTTATGAAGACACCTCTACTACGTGGGGGGCTGGATAAATCTGCTGGTAGTGTTGCCCTTCTTCCTCTACTCTCTGAGCTGGGAGGTGTGACAGCAACTAGTGCCATTAGCCACCAGCTGTCCCAGTCATCTTAGACTTCAGAAGCAGCAGGAACTCAGAACCCCTGTAGCTCATACTGTGAATTTCTTTTTGATATGCTCTCCTTGGCTGCTAGCTCTCTTATCAGCTCTTCCTAAGGGAGATAAAAGACAATCCTAAACAAAATTTTATCCTTCTCTAAAGTGGCATGTCACCAGCGTATGCTGCAATCTGTAGCCGCTGCAAAACTCGCTTGACAATAGTGCAAAAATTAGTTGCTATTTGGGCAAATCAGAAGGGGATCTACCACCTTTGGATTCCTAGTGCCTTGTCAGCTGAATACGGGGAAAGCTGAGACAAGTCTGAAGTAAAATGCTTGTTCTGTTCCACAGTATGGACACGCGCACTCTAGCCCATCGGCTGTAATACAAGAAACAGTTAACACATAACCCTGTGCATTTCCTAGTGGAAAACTGGACACATGCTTTACTTACTGGTTTTGAGGTAGCACAGGGAGCTGGTGTCATGACAGGAGGCTTGGCTGCACTTTGAGATGGAGGCAAAGAAAATCTCTGCCCTGTGTCCGGAGGCGAAGAACAGTGAATCCGTGTTTCTAGTCTCTCAGGCTCATGCTTATAGGATTCAAGAGGAAACGTGGGCTGCTTGGTCACTTGTGTTGGGGTAGATGGAGAAGAGGAGAGGCCAGAGGCTGTAAACAAGAATAATTACCAAAGATCAGTTCAGAAGAAAAGTGAACAGGTATCTCAGCTTTACAGTGAACCTCTATGTTTTCATTGTGTTTCCCCAGACTCAAAGTATGTATCTCACCTCCTCGTTTAGGAAAGGCAGTTGCTCCGCCTTGCCATTAGAACTCCTGTAATCATTCAGCTGGTTGAACTGTCTGATCCATTTACAGGGAGACACAGTGGCAAGGAGAGAGAGCTGGAGGTTTGTGTTGTATTAACCTCTCCTGTCTGATTGCTTATTCCTAAAATGATCCCCAGCACTGGTATTACTTTATTTTTGTGATTTTAATACTCCTGTGAGTCCCAGGATTACCTCTATCTCATGGCAAATGGCTCAAGGCTTTAATGGTTGTTTTTTCTTCTTTTTCGTAATTTTAACAGTATCTCAGCCAGCAGTTAGAATAAAATTAGGAGCAGAGGCAAAAAGAAACATGCCGTATTTCCCATGAGCCTCAGTCTGCTTTCTATAAGGCTCTTGGCAATGCCTTTATACAAACTAGAATTGTTTTCAGCAGCCTTTGAGGAGAAAGATTATTCCTATCATTTGCTGAAAATCAGTATCAGCAGCAGATCATTCCTCTTGTAAGCATCCTGTTTTTATCTGACACAGGTATCTACCCCAGCTGTATTTTTGGTTACATTCTTAGGGCAGTTCTAAGTTGTGATCAAACAGATCATTGAAGCTATATTTATTATACATTTAAGAACCAGCAGCCATCCACAACCAATTATAAAATTCAAGTTACAACATCTGTGTTTCTTGTTGTATCTGTATGTATGTGATCCAACAAAGGATAATTCTCTTATGCCAGCATAAGTCAGGACAGACTTAAAGGCATAAAAACTAAGAGGCTGAACAGAACTATGTATTTTTAAGTGGGCTATATGATCTCTGAACTTGGTTCCCTTCTTGTACTTCCACAGATTTGTGCAGATGATCAGTTAGTCCAGAGGGGACTCAAGTCGATCGAGACGGAGCAGATAAGATAGCCTTCAATAAGCATAAAAGCCCAAACCATTCAAACAAGTGTTTGAGAACATGACAATGCATCTTTGTGATTTAGCTTATCTTCTCGGTGTGAGCTTTCAAGGCTCCACCAGAGACTTTTGCATCAGAGATTTTTTTCCCCATTCAAAAGCTTTGCATTGGTGTACATGCAGCCTCCACTGGTTCTTCCTTTCAACCCGAGTAAAGAGCCTTAACGCACTTTATACTCCTTTCCTCTTGGTGTTACATTTTACCTCGCAGACAGCATCTTCAAAGAAAACTTGTATTGATGGAAAGTAAGAATAAAACTCAGTAATAACTAAGATGTTAGACTCAGAAGACTAGAAATCTAGTCTTCCACTAGAAATGGACCTTACTTGAAGAAACTATTACTCCTGACATATCTGGAGTTACCATATCTTATGATCAAAGAAATTAACGAGGAACTTAGGTAACGGTTCTGTAGCTATCATTCATCATTCAAAACAACTTTTCTTGATGGCTTTTACCTATGAAGAGACTTAACTTTAAGAGAATAGAATCATTGATCAAGAAACCTGCAAAATAGTTAGGCTCCAAGGTGTTTTATTTGTAGTGGGTTTAGCGGTGCAGTGTAATGTATCTATTTCTTTCCAAGAAAATCCTGCTCTCACTGAAAAATTTTAGCTTTGCTGGAATCAAAAAGGACCCCCTACTCAGTCCCTCTCTTCAGTCTTTCTCCAAAATTGCAGCTGCCCTCCAAGGGTTTTGTTCATACAGAGCCCCGCAGCCCTGCTAATCCAGCAGCAATACCCACCGATCCAGTGGAGACTGGGTGTTGTACACAGATATAAATGTTGGCCAATGTGACATGCCACGGGGTAAGGCAAGAAGAATAACCCCGGTATTTCGAATGTCCTCAACTTCTTCTGATTTCGGTGGGACTGGAGAGTGCTCCACATCCTGAAGGATTAAAAGGACACCTAACTTGCCTGTTCAGTTTTTGCTTACAGACAAATTTAGATAAACAGTTCTGGGGAAGATGCTCTTATCTTCTGTGCTTTTATGGATGTACAAATGTTTCCTGAGTGCTCAGACTGGGGGTTGAGGTGGATGGTAGCTGTAACTGATGCAAATGTAAAACCACTAAAAGGGAGAAAAACACCATTAGATCTTACAGTCTTGCTACTGTATTGTGCACTAATGTATTCAGCAAGCCTACAAAAAACATTTCCAATATCAACAAGCTCTGCCAAAAAAGCTATTACCAGACATAAGGAAACCACATATTCACTGTCCTAACAAGGCTGGCCTGCCAAGCGTAGAGGACATCTACAGGACACAGGAAGATATGGATCAAAGGCAACCAAGGAAGTACCATCTCTTACATCCTATGAAAATACTGCCACCTCATTATAGACGTGTAACAGCTCAGCCAGGACAGACAGCGTGGTTTCCATTTTGCAAGAACATTCACTGGTGGTGAATCTCCTTTTGGATGACAGCCTTGGACACTTGGCCTGAGTTTTTATGGATGAAAAGCAACTTCAGCAACTTTACTGGGAGGACTCTGAGCCTTAGAACTGTCTGTTTCAACTAAGCACTCCAAACATCAAGTACCCACCGTGAGGCACACCCAAAAAATCCGAGATTCAATTTTTTTGTGACTCAGTTTCTGCACAGAGGTGGAGGGAATATTATAAATTATAATTATTTTGCAGGGTATTTGATTATGTAATTAAGTTTGTCAGTCTTTGGTATTTAAAAGCCTACCTCATAGTCTCACTGTGGTATCTATGTTATTTACATTTGTACAATACTGGGATTGAAGGAATAATCCCATAGGAAATGTTAAGTATTTTTCTGATTATTAAAACAAAAGACTTTTGGCTGCTGTGATACAGCTCAACATCCTAAACCCTACAAAGGATTTTATAAAAGCCTGCCGCATAAAAGAATGAAAATCTGTAATATATCCCCAACCAAAATCAGGTCAGGAGTAACAGAACTTTGTACTAACTTTATTCCTATTGGACTGCCATCTGAACAGGCAGCATTGGTGTAAACATACAGTCACATGTATGTGCAGTAGCTGCCCTGTTCTGCTACAAAAGAACTCCATGAAAGAGACATGATACAGCTATATCCCATGGCTGAAAACAGTTCATTTTGGAGAATTTATGCATAAAACAATTAAGTAGTGAAAACTAGCCAACAATTCTAGAGTCTTCTATAATGAAGCTGAAAAAATTCAGTAGGTATGTAGGATTTTGGAGAAGAAACAATCTTTGAGATTGGCTGCAAACTCTACTGGTTCTGGTAACAAGATGAACTGATATGGCAAGTAATTATCTCTTACGCTAATGTTTCTTTCATCAGACAATGAAACGCATAATGAATTGTGGTATTTTCATACTAAGAAACTAAATAGCTCTTCCTTTTTCCATAACGTAAAACAAGAATTTAAAAAAAAAAAAAAAAAAAAAAAAAGAGGAAAATAATCTAGCAGATCAGCTACTGTGTCACTGGCTAACACAAGCTTTTGTCCTATGTTTTCTGTTGATCATCCCATGTCCAGTTTTAAAACAGTCCAAGAGTTTTGCTTTGTTGTGATTCATTCTGACATTTCCTTTCTGGGGACAAAACAAGAGCAAAAAAAGAGGATAACTTTGAGGTCTCCATATTGATAAATAGTAAGTCCTAACATTTGCAAAATTGAATATGCATATGAACAAGAATAATCATAAGAATAGATGAATACGTGGTGCAAAATTGCATTAACATAAAGAAACAACTTTTGTATTATAGTATAACTTTACTGGGAATATGTATGTGAGATCCTAACAGAACTAAACAGCACTAGTCATAATTTTGAGCAAAATGGGACTATCTCCACTTGCCCTCTCTCTGAGACACTGTTGTCTCTGATGGCACGCAGCGATGGCCCAGCATTCAATTCTGTGCCTGGATCTGAGCAGCTTCTAGCCACACATCACAGGATGGATGCAGGAGCCCTGAGAAAGTACTGCTGTAACAGCAGAGCCCACAACTTTGGCACAAGTTAGCACGCAACACTGCCTAGTATTTAGTTGGTCACAAACATACAAAAATAATGTTGCAGCCTTCACTTGTTTCTCTAGGTATTTGCAACTCTTTTTTAAATAAAGCCCTTACTTTGCATGGCATTAAGTTCTCCACCTACCTACTTGGGCTTTCTGATCCAAACCAGCCCTCTACTGATGCATAACAGGAAAGGATAAAGCGCTACGTTGTCATTCGCATACTCCCAAGGGAAGAAGGGTGGCTGCCCTCCTACATTCCCCGGGTGACACCCACAATTAGTTCTGTCACCTACATTTCATGCCTGCACTGGCAGGATGCATCTGGTGGTTTCTGGGAGGAAGGATGCTCACAGCCCAGTGATTCCTGCCAAAGCCTCCCTTTTACATCAACCCCTTTCCAGAAAGAACAACAGCCCCTGCCCCCATGAACCTTTGGAGCCTCCTGCCCACAAATGCTGCTGCTGCTGGGGACTTCAGGGATGTGCTCGTGCTCCTGTACAAAAGGCTGGCTTCAGGTGGTTCGGAACGGAGCCACACTCCCCTGTCAGGGCCAAAGGATACAGCCAGCAGCCTGCTCTTAAACTTTACTTCTGTATTTGTGCACTTAAGATGAAGTTCCTAACACTGGTGAGAGTTACAGGTCATGAAAAATGAATCACTTTTGCACTTCTTCCTAGGAATCACACTTCAGTATTCTCTCAACCTGTACCTGGTCAAGCAGACAATGCCATTGCTAACACATAAAGCTGCTGCTAAAATAGCTTTCTGAGCTTATATATACGGATATATTAATTTACCATTTAGACTGAAACTTCTCAGAAAAAAAAAACTGAAAGGATTTTCCATTTGCAGTGGCTCCATGTGACACTTTTTGTCTGATTCCTTCCCAGGACAACACTGTCCTTTCATTTCCATTCTTCATCTGGCAGTGAAA